GATCCTGAGAGCATGTTAGTGTGTTTTTTTTTTTTTGGTTGGCCTAGGGCATGTCATGTGGGGTATTGTATTGTATTGTATTGTATTGTATTGTGGTCTGGTTGTTGGTAGCTCATTTTATGTCTGTTTATATTTTGCCCAGAACCCTCCTAACTTGAGTTTTTTTTGTTTTTGTTTTTTTTGTATTTTTGTATCTTCCTCTCTAGCCTATTAACAATGCAGATTTCATTGTTCCTGTTGAAATCGATGGCACGATACATCAGGTGAGTTCTTGCAAAAACTGAATGTGAAGTTTCTCAATAATTGTTATATACATTGTGAAACTTTAAAAAAAATAAAAATAAATTAAATAAACTTTTTTTTTTAAATGGCATGTATTTTTACGTAAACATTTTGTAAATTTATTCTATGGTTTTTAGTAAAGAAGAGTTTATTTGCTTAGGTTCTGGTTCATCCAATACAAAATTTAATAAAGTATGCGCACTACATTAAAACCATCTGCCAGATACCTTGTAGTTCCCCCCTTGTGCTGTCAAAACCATTCTAATGCATCAATCGACTCGACAAGACCTGTGTCCTGTGGTATCTATCACAGAGATATTAGCAGCAGATCCTTTAAGTCTTCACTGTTGTGAGCTGGGGCCTCCATGGATCTGATTTATTGTTCCACCACATCCCACAGATGCCCAATTAGATTGGGATTTGGATTATTTGAAGGCCAATGCAACATCTTGAACGCTTTGTCATGTTCCTCAAACACTTTTTGCAGTGTGGGAGGGTGCATTATCCTGCTGGAGGAGGCCACTGCCGTCAGAGAACATCATTGCCATGAAGGGGTGTACGTGGTCTGCAACAATCTCTGGGTAAGGCATGGGTGTCAAAGTAAAATCCAGCAGAACATTGCCCAGTACATACCACCGTTCTCCATCGTCCTGCCTTCTTCCCATAGTGCATCCTGCTCCTAACTCTTCCCCGGATAAAGAGCGCACGCATGCAGCCAAGCATCTGATCTAAAAGAAAAGGGTTTCATCAAACCAGGCAACCTTCTTCCATGGTTCAGTTCTGCTGCCCATTGAAGGCACTTTTGGTGGTGAACTGGGGTCATCATGGGCACCCTGACCGGTATGCAGTCCCATAATCGGCACACTGCAATGTACTGTGTTCTGACACCTTTCTATCATGTCAGCATTAAGGTTCACCAGTTGTCCTTCCTTGCACTACTTTTTGGTATGTGCTAACCACCGCATACCGGGTGGTTAGCACATACCGGACATCCATCAAGACTTGCCATTCTGACCCAGTCGTCTAACCATCACTATTTGACCCTTGTCAAAGTCACTTGCTGCATAATATATCCTACCCCTTGACAGGTGCCGTTGTGACAATATAATTCATGTTATTCACTTTGTCTGATCAGTGATTTTAATATTGTCTGATCAGTGTATAGTTTTTTTGTGTTAATTCAGAATACATTAGTGAGGTAGGATCTATGTCAGAAGATAAGCGCTCAGTGGAAGAGGTGGGCATAACCGAAAAATTCTATATATAGTCTCTAGTAGAGAAATTTAGATTTCGGTAATTTTCTTTTAATTCTAGTTTAGTGAACAAACCCAGTAGGGAACAGTGTTTCTATTTCTCTTAACTTGCAATTCATTACCTTGTATGTATTAGATTGTGATGTAATTTGCTAAATCTTTCATATTAATTTATAAGAGCTTATCGTTAGTTATAACTGTTTTACAATGTAAATGGTGTAACTTCCAGAAAAGTGATGGCTCCTATTTAATAACCTATTTTTACATGGTTTGTAAAAGAAAGGTCGTTCATTTTAAAATCATAATTTTTCTACTTATACAGTGATTATGTGATGTTTGGCAATTATGGGGGTACCATTGGGAAAGATGGTAGTCAGCCTCTGTTAGTGAATCTCTGTCCTCGCTATAAATGGGGGTACCATTGGGAAAAGATGGTAGTCAGCCTGTGTTAGTGAATCTCTGTCCTAGCTATAAATGGGGGTACCATTGAGGAAAGATGGTAGTCAGCCTGTGTTAGTGAATCTCTGTCCTAGCTATAAATGGGGGTATCATTGAGGAAAGATGGTAGTCAGCCTGTGTTAGTGAATCTCTGTCCTAGCTATAAATGGGGGTACCATTGAGGAAAGATGGTAGTCAGCCTGTGCTGCTGAGTCTTTGTGTATAAACCACACTGAAATGGCATCTTGAGTTGTACGAAGACCGGAATTATGTGAAAAGCACAATAAAAATGAAGTGATAAAGCAAATGTAAGGGTCCAAAGTGAGTAAAATCCCAGCATTATCCCATTTATATGCCGACCTACAGCTCTGTCCTCTGTCACCTCCTTACAGCAAGTATAGTAGAGATGAAGTCTGTATATTCCCCAATTCTGCTCTGAGTATTTCTGATGAATACCTTCTGACCTGGATCAAAAGTGCAACTGTGTCTGTGTTTACGATACTGCTTCTTCCGACCTTCCACGAGTTTGAGAAATCTTGGATTAATTCTGGGTTGCAGCCCTGTTCAAGTAATCCAGGATAGGCTGTTATCAAAGCCTGGCCTATCCTTGGTTACTTGCATTGGGAAGCCACCAACTACTTCTAAATTCTTAAATAACAAAATGATATTGGCATCCGGGGGACATTTGTACTATATTCATTTCTGTATAGTTTTGTTTGTTTTTGTTTTTAATATGGCAATCTGTGTGATGGATGGCTTTGGCAGTGCTTGAGTTTATGAATTTCCCAGATAACGTGCATGTCGTAGAACGTGTGTGACGTGTCTGGTATATGGCCATAGAAAGGTAGTGGACTGCTTGTGATTGGCATTGGTCTGATAGCACACTGGGCTTCTGCTTAGTCTGTATAGTACCCTAGCGAGCGTTTTAAAGGGGCTTTCTAATAACAAAACCATTTACGCTTAATAATGTGGTTTTGGTGTGTAGATCGCATCTTTTCAGTCTTACTGTTAAATTCTCTGCCGTTTAGGAGTTAAATGAGCACTATAGTATTTAGAATATGTGTGTTCCTAACACTGTATAATGTCCTAGTCTCCTTTTAGGTGCCCCTCCTGTCAGGATAAAAAGGGATAGAATTTGCTTTCTTTTTATCCCACGCCATGCTACTCTCTCTGTGGCTGGCTTGGCTCCTTGGCTGATATAATAAAGATCGAT